TGTGTTATTTCTGCCGAAAACCATCTAAAGTGCTTCAGCATTACTGGTCCAGTCTTACCACCAGTCTCCGGCAGTGCTCCGAAGACAGTGACGGTCAAATACGTAAAGCTTTTTTGACGTTCTCAGGGCGCAGCGGCCAGGTTTCTGACCCGTGTAATAATATGCGAGGCACCGCAGCGTCATGAATTCGATCCTTGATGGATAAGCTGGTGTCACTCCAACGCGACAAGTGATGCACATTCACGAAAGCTGCTCTGGCTTTCCTTATCCAGATGACAATATCATCTTTCGCAAGATCACCGGGCATGCTACGACTGCTCAGGTAGACACATTTGTGTACCACCTCAATCGACTCATCCGCAAGCATGAGCCCACCCAGTCTTGCAGCAGTATTTTGTAGGGATCAAGCGCATGCCAAACCGTGATGCAAAACTATTTGTTTTATTGAATACTGTCTGCATCACGCTAGCGTCAGATCCATTCCGTCTGCGTACTCGGCATCTGTGTGTTAATTCCCTGATAGTATGTGTATCACACAGCAATAGAAGCTAGGAGTGAGTGTTCCATAATCGTATCAACAACGGAGTTTAGGAGGAAAGGTGAAAGAGGATAGTTTTGCCTGACACCACTTGATGTTGTGAACTCGGGCGGGAGCTTCCCATAGATTTCACTCGCCCGTGGCAGTTGGCGTACAGCAGGCGGTGGTTCCCGCTCAGCGTCTGCGTACTCTTTTTGAAGGTAAGAATAACTTGACGTGTTCCATTCTGTAGGTACATTCTGTTCACCCCATCAATTTTTGTCAAACGGGTCGCGGGGGAATCTCCACCTTTTTTCGAATAGAGTTGGGTACAGTTCGTCCGGTCTTAGTGCCCTCCATTTTTTCCCAACGGATATTTCGTACTTTATTTCTTCTTCCGATGTGTGATTATGATTAACATTCCATTCGCCCGTATGAAATTTCTGTGGAGGCTGTGTTTCAGGAGACCAGCTAATCTGTTCTTCGAATTATTCGGCCCATCTTTCCAGTCAGTCTTCTTGCGTGTTAGTTAATGAACCATCTTTTTCACTTATCTTTTCACCTGTCGCTGTTTCCTATGGCCAATTTATCATATCAATCGGTCCAGGGCATGGCTGTTTGTGGTGGCAAAAGTGATGTCCATCTCCTGGGCTTTTGATGCTCACCAAAACTTTCGGTCTTCACTATTTTTCGTTTGATGGATTTGTGTACACCGTCGTACTCGTTGCCTGGCGGTACGGATTCCCCGGCTTCAATCAGGCCTAACGATCTCGACGATATCCAGTAGTACGTTGATTGTATCGCAGAAGTCGGACAGACAGTACTAAACGTCACTAGCGTAGCTTCTTTCACCCTTTGCCACGATTCATCGATATGCTCGTTACCAATACACGGTTTACTGTTTAGAGTAGTTGAGCTGGTTTAAATCGATACTCCTGTGTTTTGGAAGTTTTTGGGGGTCGGCGGATTAGCATGTTTCTGGCTGGCTTGCGAGTGGAAGCGAACTGCCAGGCGTCCTCATAACATGGCCTGATCGGAATCATGTTGTATGCCCCAGAAGACAGTTTCGAATTTCGGCTATCCATTGATGGCTGCTGGCAACCTGATCTAACTGGGTACACGGTCGATTTGCGCGTGGTGGCCTCCGGTTTACGCGATGTGAACTTTTAAGCTTAAAGTTCGAGCTGGTCAGAAGCAGTTGCCGATCAGCACAGGACTGGAGGAGTGCGATCAGCATCCACTCTAAGTCAGCCACCCAGATGTGATTCCAAGAGGTTCAAATGGCCGATTTGGGTATTCACATCGCCTGCAAGGGTCACAATGTCAGTGTTTTTTGCTTGACGAATGAGCTCGGATAAATATCGACAGAAAGTATTATCAGCGTCGGAATCGTGGTCCGTTGGAGCATAATCGGACAGTATAGGCGCCGTTTTCATATCGAGAGCCACTTAGTTTGATCCAGCTGGGTAACTGGACGGCGCAAAGACGACTGTTCACTGGGATCTATTTCAGCAAAGCGCATTCAGCTCTGGGGCTGAGTGCGATCCTGTACGCCATATATTCTATGGGTAATCGGTTCTGGATCACCGGACGGAGGGATAGTAAAATGTGAAGGAGCTTAGTTCGTGCTTGGCATTTTGGGGTGCATAACCTAGCTCGTTTCTCGTATGCGTGTTACAGAGACAGCATACATCAATTTTAAGGGAGTATGAGTGACCAGCATTAATTGTTTGTCAGTTTGACATAGAGTACAGACGTTGATAGCTGCTGTGTAAAAATGATCTCATGGAATAGCAGTGTTACTTTGTTTATTGTTAATAGGCACTGGGGTGAATGGGTACATCAGTCAGATAATTGACAATCAAATTACCCAGTAACGTTTGTTGGGTGATGGGAAGGTTCTGGGGATGGAAATTGGTGGAGAAATAACTGTGCCGGATAGTAACAATCGTACGTTACCAAGTTTGGGAAGTGGGGGTTGGTTGAGATACCCCACCTTGAATTTTTGACCCAAAAGGTCTGACCCACAAGGACTTGGGGAGGATATATGGTTTTCGATGGAGTTTTCTACGATATCCTGACCATAGCCAATGACTCAGAAATCTGACCAGCTCCGCTGCAAGGAACCGGCATAATCCTAGGGTACAGTGAGTAAGATATTGACATCTCACTCATGATGCCGCTGCGCAGTGATTTCTCTTGACCGGTTTTAAAGTTATTTCAAACTTATTGAACAACGCGCCGGCTGTCACGGTCTATCGTTGGGTGATCCGAGTGTACGATTTTTAGGGCCGACGTCTTCTAACCCGTCATTCCTCGGGGTGGGGGAAGAAAGTCAGCATCGCCACTTCCACGAATATGGACATGCTGGTCGCATGAGGGGAACATCTTGCTGTCTTCACACTCCTGTCGTAGACGACCGTACGAATTTACTTCCTGATCGCCTTAAATTAGGTTTATTCATAATATGACTTCTTATTGTCCTTGATCTGCTTGCTCCCTCTTGGCCATGATTGCACTTTGTCGAACGAAGTTCCAGCCAGTGTAGTCTGCGGAAGCATTGCAACACTCAAGCCCAAACGCCACATTGAGGTGGCAGCTTTATGTCGGGTTTTAGACCAGCGACACATGATATAACCGACTGAGGATGTTGCGTGGAACGGCGCTCATTTATTGAGATTGCTTTGAGCTAGTGAGAGTGTATGGAGGGCTCTCCAAAAGCTTCCGTACGCAAAGCAATGTCCGTCAGAGGTGCCTACTCCATTGCCTTTTAATTTCGCGATCGATGAAATAATGAGACGAACGCTCGAGGGTCTCCAAATAGCCTGTGGAGAAAACCTTGTCGATCTGGAATATGCAGACGACATCGTACTCATGTTCGAAGAGAAGGAGAAGGCGCATGTGTTTTTGGATGAACTGACCAAAGTCCTTTGGTATGCACTTTGCACCTACAAAAGGTAAGGTCATACTCGTGGACGTGCAGTCACTGAACACGCCACTTACAATCCAGGAGAGGTACTAGAAGTTGTGGAGCATTT